GTTGCTTGGACGAAGACCTAAGGAACACATGCGTATGGAGATACAAGAGTTTAAAAACCTGATGATGTAAGTATGAATGATTGTAAGACCCATCAGTCAAGCGTTGAACATTCTTGTAGAATATTATGTAAAAAGCACCATACAAGGTGAAGGTTGCAACTATTATACCATAATTGTTCGCCATCAGAGGTCGGAAACGAATCTAAAGTTCTTCCTCTTGCATCAATTGAGATAGCTTCTCTTACGTCAAAAGATACTTTACCCAACAGTCTCAGAGGATCAGGCACTATACAACCATCTATATTTGAATACAAAACAGGTGTTTGGAAGAAAAGGTAGAAAAAAGAATACAACACTCCTACGATGCAACCAAACATGGTTCTGCTCGGAGAAAAAAAGAAGTCGATGATTTCACGTCTGAAGCGCAGATGAGATCCTTATGTACATCAAGTTTTACCTAATTTTTAAAATTGCGATCACCCTATTAAATGCCAAATACAGACAGAAATAAGATGCACCTGCCCAGCACACTCAAAGAAATGATATGAACATCTTGAATGCAGATAGAACTAACTCATATGGAGACATCCAAACACGTAATACAAGTTGGGCGCATCACAGAAAAAACTTCCCACAGTTAGGTTATAGCCTGAATGGAATATCAAAGATTCATTCTTGAGACAGAATTACCTTGGAAAAAGTCAGTTCCGATAACTGCGAAGAGATCGTATAAGCCTAGGCAGAACATTAGTTTGTAACAAGCCTTGCTGGCCAACTTCGGCTGTAGCATAGCATGAAGACAAAGAACATAGACAATCTGAACTTTCACGCTTATAGGAATCGAGGAAATATGAAGAATACCGCCATCGAGAATCCGAACACAATAGAAGATACTCCTCTGATCGGTCTTCGGACCGCTCTCATGTTATTCATCTCTTCACTGGTCAATGAGCTTCAATCGTCAGAATAAGAAATGAAATTGAGAAAGAGAATGAAACCTGCAGTTATATAAAGAAACATCAGTTATGGATTTATAGTAGAAATACATGTCCATTGCGGCAAAGCTTCCAGTATCTCAGTGTGACACCAAGACAAAGCGAATATGAGTTAATGACTTCTTGAGTGATGCAGAACTATTTCATTAATGAGGCGTATATATGATCAAGCAGAAGGAAAACATCTGTCTTGCCTTCATCTCAACAATAACAAAAGTATTATCNTCAAGCAGAAGGAAAACATCTGTCTTGCCTTCATCTCAACAATAACAAAAGTATTATCTCATTTACACTATGAAACAGCTTGTAATTGAAATTCAACAAATTGAGACAAACCCATATAGGACCATAGAACATGATGTTCCGATATTTTTTAGATTCTCATAACTCTTTGGCTAGGAAGGCCAAAGTTAGACTTCTTTGAAAAGGCTTAGGCTAGAATATGAGCCTCACTTGTTCAAGAAATTTTTTTTCTTTCAACTTTTCAAAAACCAAAAGTGTGCGCAAAACGGCAAAAAGGGGCGTGTTTAGTAAAAGGAGGGGGGGGGGGGGAATGACGCATAAGAACCGTGTATCAGCAGTATTGAACTTGTAGACTTTTAAAGATCTAGATAATCATGGCACTTGNTATTGGTGAACAGAATAGCAATCTTAATACAGTTACAACTCTCTGGAATGATTAGACTGTCCCGAGTGAGTAGGTATGGAAGGTGGAGATGTGAATTTCGTTGATTTCATATGTTGTGTTCTCACATTAATAGTCGTTATGATTGGAGGCTTCATTCCTACCATCTTGTAAACATTCTCTTTTACCCCATTGCGGATNGAGGCTTCATTCCTACCATCTTGTAAACATTCTCTTTTACCCCATTGCGGATGCTTTCATTGCAGAATAGGTAGATGAGAGCTTGAAGACCTGAAAACATAATGATCATCACTGTATATGCTATTTCGAAACCCATTGTATACTGATAAACTACAAAAATAAACTTGGGCAGAATAATCAATTCAGGAAAAAAAATATAAACTGAATAGCACAATGAGAAAATAAGTGTGAAGCCGCACATAAGAGTTGCTTGGACGAAGACCTAAGGAACACATGCGTATGGAGATACAAGAGTTTAAAAAC